TGTTACTCTCTTGTAACACCTCTAATCCTCGGCACTTATATGACCTTATTGTGTTGCAAGTGCCGTAAAACACATACTGAAACTAAAACTAACTTTCTGTCTGTCTGTCTTACTTTTTCTCTGCACTAAATGACCGTTATTGTGTCGATGTGCTTCTCTTTATATTCAAACAAACGAAACAAACACACTGATGACATTGTCAAGGAGCACGACCTCTGACAATGACATTTGTTGTTAGGCTGCTGGAGTAGTGCAAGGTTGTGGGTGGTCAAATAAGGTAAGGTAAGTTCTTTACGGCGCTCGCAACTGCATGAGGTCATATGATCGAGCGCGCGGGACACAATAAACATCAGTTGGTAGGAAATTTTGAATTTTGCCCGGATGGCGGTCGAAGCCTACTCTTATCGATTTTAGACCACCAAGGGATCTTTGACTTGCGCAACTTGCCCTCGGGACCTCCGAGATTGTTCGCCCTTGTCTGAGAAGGCTAGAGATCTTTTCTTCCAGAAGATCACGGGTGTGGCTGAAAGACAGCAGTAAGAAGGAGCTAAGGAGTAGCAATGGAAATACTGCAGAACGAGTCAGAAGCCCAGACAAAGGGGCAAAGGAGGCGAGGGGTGGGAGCAGAAACTGGAGACAGAACATTGCTATAGAGCTGGAGAAACAATTTTAGAGAAGGAAATTTTTCCGTCGCTACCCGGATTCGAACCCGGTACCTTTGAATGAGTGGTGAACACCTTAGGCTCTAAGCCATGAGAGGTTAAAGTAAATAAATAAAATGATACCATTGCCCTACAGCACATTGACAATGGTGACAACCGTAAGTATGTTCATTCCTTCTGGAGATACAGAAACACCTTAGACTTAGAGCAATAGTCTGTAGTCTACATCCAAACAGCTAAGCACTTAGAGACATCATGTGGATAGTCTGTCCTGGGCACTCTGGAGTGAAGGGCAATGAGGAGGCTGATAGGCTGGCAGGCAGAGCCGTGCTTGATAGTGAGGGGAAATTTGACAAAGGAGAAGTGTTGACTTGAAGACCCTGGAAGAAAAGTTGCGGGATGAGGAAGACAGGGAGACAGCAGGACACCTCGCAATCATCAGGATGCGGGAAATGGGGATAAAGAGGGGAGAAGGAAGAAAGGAACGATTATCTGGAAAGGAAAGACGTCGCCATAATCAGACAGCCACTGGAACAATCAGTATGGATACCTTGTGGGCTTTGGTGCTGGGAGGGACTGAGCACTTATGGGCCCGTCCGGTGTGCAATGGCGTTATTGCCTCGGGCAGGTAGAATCTAATACAGGTAAACAGCTAAGCTTATTGGTTCCAAATTTTAATCCCCTACAAATTTATCATTTTCATAATTTGCTTGCAGAAATTCAAATAGCTACATCATGTACACGTACCTTGGCAGCACTGATCTCCAAAACTGCAGACTGCACTGACGACCTCTATCAATGTACACGTACCTTGGCAGCACTGATCTCCCAAACTGCAAACTGCGCTGACGACCTCCATCAATCAAAGACTAAACAATGGTTTGATCGCTTTTGTAAAATGAGCAACCGTTTGGGATCGAAAGATCACCCCACTGAAGACTAAATTGAAAATTTTATAGAGTACATATGTACAGTAATAGTAATGTTTTGGCATTATTGGTGTTCGGTTTGGATGGAAAACAAATCATTTAAAGCAATTCGTCGATACATGTAGCCTACAAACAACTGAAAAGTTTTCGAACAAAATTGGTAGACCAAACGGTAGCGGAGTACGATCAGCGATGAGGCAATCACCCAGGTGCTGGATATGACAAAGCTGAAGTGAAGTGGCCAGGGACAGACAAACATGGAATCTACTGCTCTTTGCCCTGTGTACTTGATGAGAGAGAGAGAGAGAGACACACACACACACACACACACCCACCCACACACACACACACACACACACACATACACACACACAAACGCACACACACACACACACACACACACACACACACACACACAGAGAAAGACACAGAAAGACACAGACATACAGACATATTGAGAGAGAGAGACATATCGAGAGAGAGAGAGAGAGAGAGAGAGAGAGTAAGAACCGGGGTCCACAGCGTCAGCACTCACTCTTCATCACAAATTACGTACGTTAACGTAGCGGGTAGCCCGTGTCCACAGCGCCCTCACACGTACGTTATTTTATTTTATTTTATTTTATTTTTGTTGCGCCCCAGACCTAGATCTTGAGAAATGGCGTTAACAAGGAGGAAGAAAATAATTTTTATGGTGGTGGTTGAAGAGGAGGTATATAAATATATAGGCCCAGGTAATATAGAAATAAAAGGTTGAACGCTTCCATACGCACTTTGTGAGTACGTAAGCGTACGAAAGCGGAGTATGTGGACCTTTGTAAGTTTTACGCCCCGGGCCTTTGTTACCAGATCATTCAGGAGGTGGGTTTCGACCCTGCCTGTTAGCATATGTCAGGGCCACCCCATGTTGAAAGCGATATAACGTCCCAGCAGGAAAAAATAAACAACAACGAGATATTATTTGATAAATATCCCCCCCCCCCCCCCACATGAATCGAACTCGGGCCTTCTGTGTTCAACAGCGAAGCGCCTGACTGCTACACCACTGACGCCAGTTTTAATTCTTAGCCTGCTTTGTTACGTTCCCAGAAAAAAAAATATCCATAAGCTTTTAACTTTAATGAATTGAATTATTATTAGAGTTTTTCAAAATTGTGCCCTCTTCTCAAGTAACTTCGGGGTCAGAACACTTTCCTTGCCAATGAATGGACATAAGAGCATTACGTAAGTGTAAGTGGTTTTTGACACCTCTACCTAAAAAAAAAATGTATTTTTGAATGATTTAGAACATTAGCATGTCTTGAAAAAGGTGTAAAAAATGGTTACACGGTAAGTTCCAATCAAGAACTAATTTTTCATCGGATGATGCATTTTGACCTTTCTTGCCCATTTACTCAGAATCGTTCATTTTACGATGCGACTGATTTTCTCAAACCACAGCACATTTATTAATTTATAGCAGAGGGAAAGGTCCAGCGCCCTGTTTAAATCTGAAATGTTATTAAAGAAGAGGGCTTAACATGCATCTTTATTGATGTTACCAAACGACTGTAGTTGAAGAGCTACGATAATAGGTTACGAGTGCAGTATGTACAAGTACTAATTACGCATTTGGGCCCATGCACCGATCGAATTCCAGGATAAACCCAATTGCAGAAAGGATATTACCCCTCGGGGCAGTGCTACTGACTGTAGTGTCTTTAGGCCATTCCCAAAGGTGCGGGGGGGGGGGAGGCATTTATCGTTCAAGCATAGTAAAATTGTAAATGGGCTGACTCATCATGTCACGCTCATAACTGTGCCTGATCCACAACAGGGAACTACTGCCTTTTCTTTCCCAATCCTTACTATCGTCATTTTCCTCTACACTTTTGTATGTTTGTCACTCCCTTGTGACCCGCTCTTTCCGGGGTGCCTTGATAGTCGAAGCAGACCTTGTGCTGTTGAAGCTGGAGAGGTGAGCAGAATAAGTCTGATTCCATGTAAAGACTTCTCTGTTGACACCCACTCCTTGGCGCTCATATGACCGTAGGTAGTTGCAAGTGCGGTAAACCCTCTACTATATAAAAAAGAAAAGATATAATACTTCAGGACAGCTTCCACTGACACTTTCTTTTAACACCACTGGACAAAAATTTAACGTTCAAATCTGTATCATGTGTCGGCCTACGCCTGTTGAAAGAAAAGTCTTTTGACAGACCGATTTATTGACGCAATATTTATTGGCTATCGTGCCTTTAATTTCAAATGAGTTTTCACTGTTTTATAGTCAACATTTTATGAATCATATAAAAAATATACATGCACTAAGCACACACCTTTCCTTCTATGAAATGGGAGTCCGCGGTTATCAAAATGTAACAATTGGCAACCATTAGGTACACATCATTGCTGTATTACACTGCCGTACTCCCCCCTCCCTCCCCTCTTTGTCGCGCTGTCTCTATATCTCCCCATCTCTCGCTTCTTCTCTCCCCCCCCCTTCTCTCTCTCTCTCCCCCCCTTCCCCCGACCCTTTTGGGTCCGATTTTTACTTGCTTGCTGCGACTTGAAGAGGCTTGTAATGGATCATTTAGAATGCCAGAGGTTAATTTCCCTTTGGCGCCATGGATTTGTCACTGTGTCTCAGCCAAGAACTAGAATGTTACCACCATTAACTTCTTATTAAGGCTCCTGGATACCCCCCCCAAAAAAAAACAACAAACAACAAACAACCCCTACCCCAAATAAAATAAAAATAAAATAATAATAAAGAATAATATATTTAAAAAATCTTTTTTTAATGCATCAACGAAAAAACAAAACAAAGAAGCAACAAAGGACACACAAAGAAACAAAAACGCAGAAACAAAATCACAAACAAACATCAAAGAAAACAACAAGCCAACATACATAGTTTTTCAGAACTAGTTCGCCCATAATAGTTTGTGTACCAGTAGGCATATATCCTAGTTGGGATGGCGAGGCAATTTATTTCACTCGACGTTGTAGAGTAATTAACCATGCTCTGCTCTTTTCTTTCATGGAGATCTGGGTCGACAAACTGTATACGTGTACTCAATGAGAAAAATTAATTTGTTATATGTCAGAATGCGTAGATGTTGAAAGTAACAGTGGGGAAATCAAACAGAGGCGAACTTGAACTGGAAACAGTTTTGAGAATACATGCAACAAGAATATACGACAAAAACGTATTTTGGCAGTTTTTCAGGATTGTTGTTGTCGCACAGATTTAATGAAACAATAAAAGAATGTTACAAAATGGAGGGAACAAATTATCCATGGCAGCGCAAAGAGATGTGGGTGACTGAATCTACTATTATTACATTGTTGTATGGAAATGAACAAGTGCAACAGGACGAAGTACGTAAAGTATGATAAACTAGAGGTCTGCATTATTTTGTACTGCTGCAACTAAGATGATAACTAAAACTGTATCGACATACTTACCAATAACAAAAATAACGTAATGGATTGGGTTTGACACAGTTGCTTTCTTTGTAAATGTAATTGTAAGTAATGTTGTTTCATTTACAAAACGTGTACGGAAAAAGCAACTGTAGAGACAAACCCATTTTCTTGTGATGATGTCTGTAATGGACTTAATTTTGTTTGTTTAGAAGTATGCTAACCTATTATCGATAAAAGCTTGTTATTGCAGCAGTCTGTTTATATTTCATTCTGATTCCGTAATTTCGAACGACTCTATTGAAATCAAGGATTTTTACCAAAGCTGAAATTCCTTGATAGTCTGTTTTAATTGTTTCAAGTTACTGTGACAAAGCTATTTTTCTGGCACTGAAAATGTAAGAAATTTTTCAGAGTTAGAATCTAAAATTTCCACCATAATATTAGGCCACCTCATTTTCACCCGGTGTGCGTTCACCGTTATAGCCTAGATCTAGGCCAACCAATTTTGCGTTCACCCTGAACCACAGAATTCTACACTGTGATAACAGAAAAATTGTAGAATTCTGTGCCGTGAACAAACGTTCCTTTACTACTGTTAGCCTAAAAGCATACAATTTTGTCTGTGGGCAGTGGAGAGAGAGAAAGAGAGAGAGAGAGGAGTAGCACGAGAATTTCTGGGCAAAACAAAATGGCGACATGCGTAGTTCAGCTCGATTCGAAAAGTTAAATAGCCGTAGCATCTTTGTAGATGAACAAATTGATTTACTTTTGTGTTTTAACATCATTTTTTAACTTTGTTTTGGTCAATTTGATGGTCCACACCGATAGACAGTATTCTGAAAGAGACAGAGAGAGAGAAGAGGGGAGGAGTAGATCTTGCGAGTACTTCCGGGCAAAACAAAATGACGACCCCCGTAGTTCGGCTCGATTCGAAAAGTGAAATAGCCATAGCATCTTTGTGGACGATCAAATTAGCTTACTTTTGTGCTATAACGTAATTTTTTCTTTGCTTTTATCCATTCGATCATCCACACCGATAGAAAGTATTCCGAAATTAGGAAAAACAGGTCTTGTTTCACACCGGGTGAGAATAGCCAACGGTGGCAAGTCTCACCCAGGGTGAGAGGTCGATCGTATTTTTATTCTCACCCCGGGTGAGGATAGCCACTTCCTAATATTAATGTCAACGAAGTGGCTATGCGTACGGCATGAGTACAGCTCCCGTACACATAGCCTCGTGCTATGCATACGGCCCTCCCGTACAACATCGGCGATCATGGTTTTCCATTCATTCCTTTGCTCGGATGCTCTAAAAAAAGCTACATTTCCCTGATCTTTCCCTGTTACCCATTTGTTTAGGTTCCCTAAGTATGTTGTTTTGGGCCTACCCCTGCCTCGCTTGCCAATGAGAGCTAGATGTTCAAGACCCTTTTGTCTATTCAGGTGTCCCAAAAACTGCATTTGTCGTTTCCTGATTGTTTTTAACATTGAGCATCCCACGTGGGCTTCATCAAGCACTACCTCATTTGATTTCTTTTCCTTCCACGATACTCTTAGCAGTCTCATAAGAAACCACATCTCTGTTGCTTCTATTTTATTTTCCCTGTCTTTAGTGATTGTCCAGCATTCACAGCCATATAGAAGGGTTGACCAAACACAGCATTTCAGAAGAACATAATGTAGTAAAAAATATTCTGCTTGTGCGCTTCAATTTCACAAACAATATGAACTATCAATTGCAACAGCGAGCAATCCTGTATCTTTTTAACCAGCAGTTAATTTTATGTGGTTGTACTAATTGTGCTTATTATTTTTTTATGTGAATGGGCTGTGCTCATGCTCACATTTTGCCCCTTCCAAGTGATTATTAAATTTCTGCTATATCGATCATCTGTTGGGGAGAATTTTCTACTAGTATCTAGGTTTTTCTGCTGGGATGTTGCATTCCTCTCACTGTGGGTTGGTCCTGACTGGCAGCTGGGTAGAAAATCACCTCCTAAATTATCTAAATTATGTCGATGGGGGTGTAAAAACACCTACATTAAATTAATCTCTTTTCTCCTCAATAATGTGTGGTTGTTATAGAGAGGGTCAACTGTATGTCATGAACGAGAATCAAGTGTTGCTCACTTCTTGTCATTTTTGTTTTCATCGTTTCAGGTGTGCCTTGCTGAAATGAAATACAACCATGAGTTGAGGTGGGCTCTGTGTGGAATTAGCCCCAGTCTGCAGCTATGCAAATATGCTAAAGTTTGAGACACCCCAGAGTTGGGCAGAGGCTGGGCCTCCCAGTTTAGCTCATCTGGGTACATGATATGGATTTTGCAGATGCTGGTGGCAGTGCCGACTGCGTGAATGCTGATAATATCAGATTACAAGACATGGCTGCCATCTCAGAGATAGGCAATTGTGAAGGAGGAGGAATCAGCAGTGATGTAGCACAGAGTCTCCCAGAGAATGATAGTGGTCATGTTGTGGGTTTCTCTCAATCTGACAATCAGAAGATCTTTGATATTACACAGATTAAAGGCCGGATAGTTTCCTCATTAATTGATTTCAGATCTGAGCACCACAAACCCTTGCTTACCCCTCAACCTGCGGAAAGAATGTCAAGGTTGGCTGAGACTGTTCCGTTCTCTCAGGCAGAGTGTGATGTTCCCTCCATGACAGTCAAAGTGCAGCATCCGTATGATGGAGACGACAGAATAGAGGCACCTGGATTTGATGTAGAAACTTCTGGTAGGGCACTAGGAAGAGCATTGGCTGGGCTTGTTGATACTGGTGTTGATGGTGAGCTAAAAGATGAAGAAGCAGGTAACAAGTGTGGTACAGGTTATAATGAGGAGCCCCATATTCTTGGCCTGAGCATGAAGAAAGACTGCGATGAAAAGGACATCAAGGATTGTTTGACAGTTTCTGTGGAAGGGAATGCAGGATTGGCAGTCTTTCCTCCAGAAAAGTGTCCTGGGAAAGGAGAAAGTACAAAGCGTCTGACTGTGAAAGCAACAAAGGGCAACTCTTTGTCAGTAACCATTGCTTCAGTCATTAAAACTTCAAAGTTAAGAAGGAGAAAAGAAATACAGATTAAGGAAGTAAAGGAAAGTGCAAGTATGAAGAAGATTGAGGAACCAAAAAGAAAAAGTGGGAGGAACAAAGAAGAAAAGAATAAAGGGGGCAAAGATCTGATGGAAAGTAGATTGAAGAAAGATAATAAGAAGAAGGAGGAGAGTCAGAGGGAAGAGGGTAAGCAAAGACAGGAGGCTCAGAAGGAAGATGGAGGATTGTGTAAAAGTCGTCGTAGTCTGAGACTGAAGGCTGGTAAAAAGATATCTTATGTGAACGATTGTGAATTTGAGGAGGAGGAAGATGAAACAGAAAGACAGTTTCTACCTCCTGAGATGCCTTCTGCTGCTTCTCCCACTCTTTCTCCATCCTCTGCTCTGTCCCCTCCGCTCGTGCCTCCTTCTGTTCCCTCAAAAGATCTGAGGCTAGTCCCCAGTGCCAAGGGATATAAATGTTACTTGTGTGACTTCACTAGCAAGAGCAGCTTAGTGCTGAAGCAGCACAGGGAGGTGTGTCATGGTGAAAAGCCTTTCTGTTGTGCCCATTGCTCGTATTCTTGCAGAACCAAGTCTGATCTGACCAAACACGAGCACATTCACCTCCCAGAGCACACGTATCGGTGCACGGAGTGTAATTACACGGGGAAACGGCTGCGGTACTTGCAGAAACACATGAAAATTCACCAGGAAGGAAATGTGGATGGTGAAGAGGAAAAGAAGGAAGAAGAATTTCCATTTTCATGTCACATATGTGAGTTCAGATGTAACAGTAAAAGTGAATTGGACTCTCATCTCCCAAGTCATTCAAAACAATTCAGGAAATATGTTTGTGCATACTGCGGTCTGCCCTTCCGACACAAAGCTCCCTACACAAGACACTTAGCAGTTCACCCAGAGGCGTGTCCCTACATTTGTACCTTGTGTGGATCGGCGTTCAAGAAAAAGTCACTCCTGCTGAAACATGAGCAGAGCCACAAGTCAGAGGATCAGATGGAAAATGGAGAGAGTAACATTGTGAACAAAGATAATACAGATTTGGGAGATGCTACTTTGACTCCTAAAGCTGAATTAGAAGACAAAAGGGTTGATAAAAAGTCAATATCAGATATGCCAGTGAAGAGAAAAAAGGTAAAAGTGAAGAAAAAAAAGAAAAATGTGACGGATGCCCAGGAAGAAAATTCAGAGATTTTGTACTGTGAGCTCTGTTCTTACTCCACCACCCAGAAATCCCTGCTGCGGAGTCACAAACGAAAACATTCGGATGCAAAACCTCACAAATGTCACCAGTGTGGTGCTAGTTTCAAGAGACGGTACCACCTCACCAGGCACAGACTGTCTCATAATGCAGATGCCCCCAAATTCCCTTGTCCCCACTGCCCGTATTCAACGTTCCGTAAGCATCGGTTGAAAGTGCACATTCAGACTCATCAGACCAACAAACCAATCAAATGTTCTCTCTGCCCGTACAGTTGTCGTCATGAGTGGACTCTGAAGTACCACATGCGCAAGCACACGGGTAACACAGCACCGGGGAAATCTGGTCAGCCGGCAAAGATTGACTTCACATGCCACCTCTGCGGCTACCAGTGCAAAAACACAAAGAACATGAAGTACCATATGATGCGACATGACAATAAAACCCCCTACACCTGTCCACACTGTGACTACAAATGCAGCTCCAAATCCAGCATCAAGGACCACCTTCTGCAGCATGCTGGTCTCAAGCCCTACCTCTGCTCCGATTGTGGGAAATCTTTTCGCAACGCATCCCGCCTCAGCCGGCACAAACTTGTGCACAGTGACATGAAACCGTACTCGTGTGATCACTGCGACTTCTCCTCCCGCTCAAAATATAATCTGAGGCAGCATATTCTACGACACACGGACAAAGACAAAGTGAAGAGACGTGTTCGCAACAAGACCACAGTGAGATCTGTTTCTAAGCCAGAAGCAAATGGAGTGGGGAGCCAACTGCTGAAACTAAACTTCCAGTCAGACATCCAGTCCTTATTGGGTCAAAACAACTACTTGGAGAACATCCACCCAGAACCATTTGGTGGTCAGATGAACACAGGCTTCCCTGCTTTGCCACTAGCACCCAGTGACCAGGGTTCAGGGGTCATCCCAAACATTGATGGAATTGAAAAGACTTTATCCAGCAGTATGAATCCTCGCAGTGATACCATGTACAACAACAAAAATTTCTTGAATAAAGACGGGCAGATGCAGACACTTAGAAACCAAAACACAATGTCTATGTTTGCAGGTTTTGAGCCAAACCATGAACGTTTCAATTCACCTTCCACCTCTAATGCTGTTCCGACTGCGGGAAATGTTGGCTTTGACATGAACCCCAGTGTTGGAGGATTTAACCCCCTCGTAGGTCACAATGACGCTTCAATAGCATACAACACTTACCCTCATATACCTCCACCACATCCTCCCAATGCTAATTTCAGCGGCATGGATCGAGGAGGTGGCTACAGCTATATGAATCCGTACTTCTACAATGAGACTGTGTTTCCTGGATACATGAGCTCCAATATGAACTTTTATCTCGGACAAAGTAATATGGACACTGGTCATCTGAACGCAGGCCTGGACTTGCGGAGACATTACGACATAAGCCAGGCCTCGGAGCCTACTATGACCAATCACATGCAGGTGGATAAAGATGTGAATGCTTTGAGGATGCCGGCTGAGCGGACTGATGTAGTCTCTGTGGGGGATGCGAACATGGCTGCTACCAGAACGTTTCTTGAGAGCCCGTCGGTCTTTATGGGAGGTGGGGAGAAGGTATTCCAGAAGGAACTGGGTGTAGATGAAAGTATGGCTGTTAGCTCAAAGCCTGACATGGTTCCGTCAGACATCAGTGGAGTCACAGCAAGTGAAGTCATGCCATCATCCACTGCCGCCAGTCTGAACTTCCTGGACTCGGCTGTATCTGCAGTTAGCACTGGTGATGACTATAATAGTCTGAAGGTGGAATCTAATGAAGAAAATCTGGGCTGTAATGATGATGATGAAGAGGATGATGATGATGATGATAATGAGGATGTTGATTTTCCTCCTATGCTTTCTGATGCTCCTGAGGAGCAGCAGCAAGACTCATTGTCGGAGATCCCGCCACAAAATGATGCAGTACAACCTGCTGTATCACCACAGGTGGAAAATAAAGAGACGGTAGAGAAAGAGGGCAAGGAGGCTGAGACAACAGCAGACACCAATGATCCAGCTGCCCCCGTCCAGCACTCGCCATTTTTCTGTACAGAGTGTGGCCTGATGTGCGAAACTCGAGCAATTCTGCAAAAGCATCGTCGGACCCATGCGACCGCCAAGCCCCACACGTGCGAACACTGCGGCAAGGCTTTCAAGCGCAAGGACCACATGCGGGCTCACATGCACACTCACAGCACTGAGAAGCCCTTCAAGTGCTCCCAGTGCTCATACGCCTGCAATCGCAAGTACCGGCTGCGAAGGCATGAGCTGAGTCACACAGAGGAGCGGGCACACAGGTGCAAGGACTGCGGCAAAAGCTTTGACACAGAGGAAGAAGTGATAAATCATGCAGAACTGCACGCGGCTGGCTTCATGTACGAATGTGACGTCGATCACTGTGCGTTTCGATGCAAGTCGAAATCAGAGCTAAAAGCCCATGCCAAAGTTCACCAGGTGTTTTTGTGTGAAAAATGTAGTTACTCGTGCACATCAGCTGCAGAGTTTGCCAACCACAAACGAGTACACCACCAGGAGAAAAAAGAGCTCATCTGTAGCGTTTGTGGCTACGTGTGTGACTCGAACAAGCGGCTCAAGTACCACATGGCACGACACGAGAACAAGACACCGCACTCGTGCCCACATTGCGATTATAAATGCAGCTCACGGTCCAGCCTCACAGACCACCTATTAAATCATGAGGGCATCAAGCCCTTCCTGTGTTCCATCTGTGGCATGCGTTTCCGCAATACGTCTCGTTTGAATCGGCACAAACTGGTGCACTCTGACGTGAAGCCGCACTCGTGTGAATATTGCTCTTTTTCCTCTCGCTCCAAATACAACTTGAAGCAGCACATGCTTCGTCACTTCAAGAACGATCTTGCTCCAGCCTCATCCTCTGCAGCTACCTTAATGTCTCAGAAAAAGGACCATTTGCAGTTGCCCACAGACACTGCTACAGCCACCACTATTTCGGCTTCTGCATCAAAACCTGATTTCACTGGCCAATCAAACTCCTTCAGAATGGATAATATCCCAGCTTCACACCCAGCCTTAAGAACCGACCTACCCCACTTCAGTGCCGCAGCTCAGAGGACGGACTATCTGGCTCACCCTCCTTTCAGAAATAATCTCCACATGCCTCCAGCATTGCAGCCGCCCCTCATACCCCACCCAGGACAATCCGTCATGGGCCATCCTGTTTAGGGAACAAATTTGTTAATGTCAACCAAACAAAGAAGAAATGACTGAGTAATTTGTAAGACTGATTACTTTGGGTTTTTTTGTCCTTCCCTCAAGAATCTGAGAATCGTTCAGAAAGTTACAGGGTTTGTAAGAGTAGAAAGTGGAAAATACTTAAAGCATTTTTAATGCTATCAGCTGTGTAAATGATTAAGTACAGTATACAGCGGTGTCTGCTTGTATGAAATACAGTTAATCCAAAATCTGTGGTAAACTGAAAGAAAATACCGGTAAAATGCCTGATACCATTTATTCTATTTGAGAAACCTCTCTAAATCGAAAATTTGGCTAAACCGAAGAAAAGCTGGCAGTACCGCAGCTTTCGGTTTAATCCTTACTAACGCTCTGTTAAAGTAAAGAGATATAACTATAGTGTTTTTTGCCTTGCTTGAAGAAAATGTTACACCATTAATCATTTTCATGAGAATACTGTTACGTTTAGAAAAACACTATGGGGAAATTCAGTATGTCCGAATCAATTATTAGTGTGCTTACATCATTTATAAGTTTGAAAATAATCTCCACTTCCTGGTGATTGCTCTTCTGTATATCCCCTTAAACTCACCAGAAAAATACGAATTGACAATCAGACAATCAGATGGTGCTTTTTGGTGCAAAATTTGCACAATAGACCTGTCCCCGCGGTTTTCTGCAAAAAAAAAATTCTGAAATTATGCAAACTGAATCCAAAAACGTGAAATTGTGCAGTTCTGTTAATTTTAACAAAGAATGATAAAGGAAAATAATCAGAAATTATGCAAAACATGATCAAATTTTCTAGATTATGCGGAGTGCATAAAACCCCGGGGACAGATAGACAAGCAGCTAATCTCTATTCTTTATGACAGGTTTGACTGAGATCTTTTCTGTGGTATAGTCTAGTATACACTTCTATAAGCAAAATAGATGGGACATGGGTGTACAAATTTTGCTGCTATGTAAAATTATGTGCATATTTTTTATACCAGTTCAAAGAATGTAATGCTAGAGAAAAATTGGAATGTGAAAATTTGTTTGCTATAAGTGCATGTTTCCTTATGTGCGGGTTCGCCATGTGTGTGCCAGACTGAATATCAATTTAAATGCTAAGAATCTCGAATTACTTGAATACCTTTCACATATGATTTTCTTGTCACTGAGTGACTTTACAAATACATGACGAAAATCATGGGGTTTTGTTCTCAAGAAGATGCGACAATCTTGTTTCATGTGAAGTCATTGTGGGTTTTTTAAAACTTTTAAGCTAGAGCCATGAAATGATTACATAGTTTCTTCCTTCTTTTACAACCAGCTCTCTTGTGGGATTGCCCAACTTCCCATATATGGAAAGTTCTGGTTGTAATTTTGTCCAGTATTATACATATACAGCATTTGCTAAGGGCATAATCAATATTTGCATGGTTCTGTTTGTTCTGTCAATATAAATCCTCTACATTCGTTTTGTTTCTTTTATCTGAGTAAGGACATTAAAGTAACAACTCCTCCTTTCTGACTTTCTTTTACTTTTTCTCCGTTTGTGTACTTTTTATCGGTTTTTTTTTTCCTTACTCATTCTCCTTTTCCTTCCTTTCTCTCTTTCAAATGCCGTTTTGAACATATGAAGTTACAGCAGAAACTGCTGAAGACTAATTTTGAGTCAATTGAAAGTCAAAGATTAGAGGGCCTGCGCATCCCTACTTCAAGCACTTCAAGTGTTTTTTTGGTGCTTTTATTTCTTAAAATATAGTGTTTTTATGTTCCCATCGACACAGTTTAGATAATTCAAGAGGCAGGCTTTTCTACCTTGCCAGTCAGGGCCAACCCTGGTTGAGAGGGATGCTCAGCACAAAGATTGAGATACTGGATAGAAATTTTCCCCACTCAGGAATTCTATCTTAAGTGAGGGATGGCGGAGTGACTAACTACTTCAGGTACTGCTCGTGTAAATGTCTAAATTAAGCCCTTCCAATACCAATTTAACCAGAAAAGACTGTTCAGCTGTTCAGAATAGGTATATTATTAATATAATATAACTCCTCGAAAAACAATTTTTTTCCCCTGAAAAGAGGGCTGTTATATATTCCTGCAAGAAAAAGCATCCATGTAATGTTATTATATCTGAGGTCTAAGGCAATAGAAAAAAAAAAAGAATATGAAGAAAACGTGACTTTGTATATATATCTGTATAAGAGTTATCATGAATGTGGCATGTTTACTTACTTTGTCTCATCATCATAGGCTACCGTACTTAGTTTTTTTCTCATCTCTCACTTTTCTTACTATGCAAAGTTGGTGCATAAATGGTACTTTCTCTTTTACCCAGAGTAACATGTGTAGGCGAAATATACCTTTCTTCACTTTTCTGATGGGTTAAAAAAAATGAAATATATGTAAGCTGTGCAAGGTGGCTACTAGAAGAAAATGGCGAAACCACCGTCCAAACGCATTGAGTGCCCAGAAAATAATTATGTTCATTGTAGTGAATTAAATGCTAATATGCTAATGAATGTTGTATCATATGTTTTCTGAAAAGTTCAATTTGTAAAGAAAGTCTGAATATACTATAATTTATATATACAGACTTCAACATAAGTTAAGGACCACTTGCAAACACTCTGAGTGGTCTTCTTGGGTCGCCCTGCACGTGGGCATTCTTGGATTGATCCAGTGGCTTTATGGTGCTGCCTCAAGCAGACAATGACAGAGTGTGACACTGTCAGCCTTCTGACATTTCTCGGGCTCCAGCTCCATCGTGCAGCCATGCCATAGCTCTAGCATGATCAAAGTTTCTCATCTTTTGTTTTGGTGGCATGTTGATGCGATATCGGATTTTGCGCAAACGGTAGCTTATATTGCCACCAAAGTGAGCACAGTTTGAGACCATATGTCCGTTTATGACGTGCACCAGAAATTTTAACTGATGTCCTTGGAGTCGCACACAAGTCGATAAAAAACCAGCAAATTTGACTAAAATTCCAAGAGGATTTCCGTGCTGCTTATTGTGGTTTTGCCCCTTTAGGAAGCTTTGCAGTACTCATTGGTTACCCATTACACTTTCAGAGCAAAAAAAAATTGAAACATTCCTTGCTGCTCTTTTTTCTGATTTTGTAAAAATCAGGACTGTCTGTCAAGGTGGTCCTTAACTTTTGTTGAAGTCTGTAGTTGGTACCACCTAAGACTTTTTCACCTACACCTATCATCGAGGTGAAAAGTGTCTGTCTTACACAATGTCATTATTATGTAAAAATATGGAGGGGAGGAAATTGGAAGTGGCTATTTATAAGGTGATTGTCATATGTACAGGTGGTCGTTAGAGCAGGTTCGTATTCATACATATACCCACATACACACACACACATACATAAAAAGCGTGAGTTTTCATGACTATCACTTTGTTGAACTTTAGGTGACGGTTTGTCAAATCTTCTTGCTGTCTTCCAATTACTGCTTTTGTGTCCTGTGTTTCCTTTTTTTTTGTATCACTTTTCCAAACTGTTCCTAAATTTTTAATGACAATGACAATCTTTATTAATCTTGCTGGGAGAAATTTATCTTGGCTGTTTACAATGTCGGTGGATGACACAAAGGTTAGGCGCACTCACGCATACGTACAACAAGACAAGACATATACATGTTTCACGTGCTGAAACAACCCACTCCGTAAAACATTCTGTCTGTCTGTCTGTCTGTCTGTCTGTCTGTCTGTCTGTCTGTCTGTCTGTCT